ACCAAAAAAATAAAGCCTGGCGCTGATGACTTCAACATGTTTACATACGTAAAACTTCCTTCTTTCACTATTTAACATCTTGTTTGGTGTTGGGTTCCTATGGTGGCCGAGAGGGGACATCGCTTTCTTGCTTTCCCGCTCTATCGCTCTATCGCTTTCTTGCTTTCCCGCTCTATCGCTCTATCGCTCTATCGCTTTCTCGCTTTATCGCTTTATCGCTCTATCGCTCTATCGCTTTCTCGTGGTATAGCAATTTTCCCTCTTGGCTACTATATGGGTCGCATGAGTTATGTGTTTCTATAAAAAGTATATACGTAAAACAACAGTAATGAATTGTTAAACCTGAACTCAGACGGCGGAGACTGAGGTGGGTTTTAATCATAAAAGAGAGCTGAGATTTTTCCAGTCACATTTCAAATTTTACATATGGAGGGAATGTTGACATTTTCTCACTATCTGCTTAAACATCATTTAACAGTACAGTCTAGGGTGCTTTTATAACAATCCACGGATTTCTGCGAAAAAAGAATTTGATTGATTTATGGCCCTATTTAGGAGTTTTATTGGATCCCCCGCGCCCAGGCCAAGTTATCAAAACAAACAGCAAATAAACACCGCTCATTAGCGCTGAGTAGAACGTACTTCCTAAAAAAAACAATTATAGTGTTTTCTGTACATGCTTTTAAAAAGAAGTTAAAGAACACCCGATTCTTTCATATGACTATGGTTAGTCATCAGGGGAGCGGTCGGGTAGCCTAGTGGTTAAAGCGTTCGCTCGTCACGCCGAAGATCCAGGTTCGATTCCCGACATGGGTACAATGTGTGAAGCCCATTTCTGGTGTCCCCCGCCGTGATATTGCTGGAAAATTGCTAAAAGCGGCCGAAAACCACACTCACTCACTCACTCACTCACTCAATCACTCGTCATCAGGGAAAGCGATAGGGCGAGAAAGCGATATTTCCCATAATGCCGTACATTAAAACGGGTTTTGCTGATATTTAGTGATCCATTCCTGTAATTCTCATCGCTATTTTGCCTCTTATAATTAGATGTTTTTAACATCTTGTAGTAGATAAATATGTTACAACTACAATTCTCGTTTAGCTTGTATATACACACGTGTTTATTTTCCTGTAGTGTAGTAGTTAAGCAAGATTCACAGCCTACAACAGAAGAGACACTGTTCATATTTGCATTTTGTTCATAATACCCCTTGGACAATAGAAATGAAATGCGTTGTAAATATTATTTAAAAACAACTCGTTTCTTATAATTACTTTCGATCAAACTGTCTTCGGGAATTAGATTTAATGCTAAAGTGCTTGTAAAATAAAGTTTAACTTTCCCGCCAGGGGAGACTAGATATCCGATTATAGTATAGGCTCAGACAGGAATATACATATTTATGTAGCAATTCTCTATCCATTTAAACTGTATGGTTAACAATTGTGCGTTCTTATGTGAGTTATGTAGGTATGTACTACATTTTTACGCAGACAATGAGTCACACACACACACACACACACACACACACACACACACACACACACACACACACACACACACACACACACACACACAAACACACACACACACAAACACACACACACACATACATACATAATATTGACAAAACTGTACTTAAGATTTACATAAAACCTTACAATGATAGCTGATTTAACATATGTTATAGGGCGATCGGGTAGCCTAGTGGTTAAAGCGTTCGCTCGTACCGCCGAAAACATGGGTACAATGTGTGAAACCCATTTCTGGTGTCCCCCGCCGTGCTATTGCTGGAATATTGCTAAAAGCGGCGTAAAATCAAACTCACTCACTCACATATGTTATAGATAATCATAGTAATGCATTTCATATTGTTATCCCTTTAACTATGTGGCCACAAGAATTATTATGTATCTCCATATGTGTAACTTACACAAGTACACATATCAACTGTGGTAACGCCACAGCGATTAGGCGAGTCGGGTAGCCTAGTGGTTAAAGCGTTCGCTCGTCAAGCCGAAGACCCAGTACGATTCCCCACATGGGTACAATGTATGAAGCCCATTTCTAGTGTTCCCCGTGATAGTACTGGATTATTGTTAAAAGCGACGTGAAACCATTCTCACACACTCACAGTGGTGTTTATCAAATTATTATATGCAAGTACATATTGTAGATTTGCACAAGACAAGAGACACAAAGTTAAACATACATCAAATGCCAAAAAGAATATTTACGGACAACAGTATGACACACTGTAACATCATATACTACCGAAAACAAGTTATAGAACACCAACAATTATAAGATTGTATTTTTGCAAAACAATCAGCCATGACTAATTAACCATAGTCTTCTTAACTTCTTTTGAAAAGTATATATTTAGATTTTAACCTGATTTATTTAGAGCGTATTGCCATGGTCTGCCACGCGCTTTCGGCGTGATGGTCACATACAACTGAATAGGGCTGTAAATCAATCAATTACATTTTACGCAAAACTCTGTGGATTGTTATAAAATCACCTACGTCTGTACAGTTAAATTATGTTTTAAGTAAATAGAGAGGAAAGTTCAACATTCCCTCCCAATGCAGCAGATGTCACATGCGGCCCCTATAGTGGTCAAGAGGGGATATATTGCTTAACCGCGAGAAAGCGAAAAAGCGAGAAAGCGATAGAGAGAGAAAGCGAGAAAGCGGTAGAGCGATGTCCCCTCTCGGCCACCACAGGGTCCGCCTCACGTGGAATCACAACCAAGTGTCTTTTTCACAGCTATGGTGTAAGGGAGATTACTCCTTCATAACAGTGTCACCGCCTTTATGTTTGTTATATAACATTTCCGAATTAAATATCAACCATCATCGAATCTCAATCTTGTCCAAGACATGTGTCAATCAATATTTGGGTTTTTTTTATCGAATGAAAAAACTGTTGTTTTTGTCATTGAAGGGTTGTACTTGTACTGAAAAGGAAATATCGAAAGAAGCGCTGTAAAATCAAATTAGAAAGCCACTTAATATTTAAGATGTGGATGTGACCAAAGACGTCAACACGTCTTTCGTGTGACTATTTTCAAAAATAAAGCTTTTGTAGTCTGTAATAATTTCACATATTGGTGGTCAGTATATAAGATGACGATAATGCGATGAATTAAATTCAGCTTGTAGCAACCCACGGGGGGTCTGTGCGTGCGTGCGTGCGTGCGTGCGTTGTGGAGTGGGGTGGAGCGGGGGTGTCCTAGCTCATATATGACGCCTCGGGGTGTAAGAGAGATGGATGTGTCATTCTTTCTACACGTGTATTTTGTTAATCACTTGTCAACAAACGCGTGTTAAAATCAAACTGAATCGAACTGGATAGAAAAGGTTTAGAGTTATTTCACTTCCGTTGCTGACAAATGGGGAAAGAGGGTTGTTTGACGTATATTTCAACAGGTTGAAGTCATCTAAGGCCAGACCTCATGTTAGGTTTACGGATGTGTGGTCCCAAAATCAGATCAGTAGGTTGAAAATATAAATAAACAATATAAAATTTCAAAAAGTAAAATAACAGGGATTCAATGGCTTTTGAATGAAGTCTTTGATAGGAATTTAGAAGTTGGAAGAACATGTATACATGAAACTTTTCATGTAAAAAAAAGGTCATGTATTCATTGGGTTTTGAAGGGTTCAATATAAATTTTCAATAGGTTTTAATTATAGTATTTTGAATAATTTATTTATATTGATAGCGCCAGTAAATGAGTTTGTGTTCTTTAATACTTTTTTTTTACTTACTCGGCGGAATAAAAAAGCCGTTTTTCACTTTTTAAATTTGATTCACTTTCAATTCTTTTGCAAACGGCGGATTTGTAAGGACGTTTTAAAAATATATGGCGGCAGATTATTTTGGGAGAATTTTTTACAGCCATCCACACCAAAAACCTGTTCGCCATGGGATCGTTGGTGGGATGGTATCGCCAGACAACCCAAGGGCACATCTGTAATGTAGGATAGTATCAATACACGAGTGTCCTAAAACAAGATGACACCATGTGGTCCATATATAATCATTCGTCCGTAACGTTTGTTGGCATCAATAGAAAATTATTATTCATATTTTTACATTTCATAACTATCGATTTTGTCGCCCTCACCAGAAGTTTCTAATTCTTTTTACGGCACTTCCCTAAACTGGAAATAGGTTACGCTTCAAAATCACTTTTATATATATATATATTTATTTTTATCCTTCGGCGAATGAATTAATATCCTTTGTAAACAATGGATAAACCATTGCTTCTATTCTTGTAGAAGATTGTTTCGTTGTTTGAGACACAGTCTTATATTCACAACGATGTATCATAATGGTTTAGAGACTGGTAAAGTCTAGACAGCCTCCGCTGACGTGACCTTTTTTGGTGACCTGGTAAGGCGCCCGAACCCAACGACCCATTCTTTGAAGCCCTCGTAAAATCTCATCTTTTTCTTATTAAAACTTTAAGATTCGAAGAAACATTTGTCAAGGCAAAAATTCAGATGAACAGACTTATCAACTTCACTCATTTCTGTTGATATATTTACGAAAGATGCCACGCAACCCAGAATAACAACACTGGTGCCCCAAACAGTTTGACATGCGTCATATGACCGGCTAAAGTGTACTGCAAGGTCACATGATCACCGTACATGTTGAGGAAGTGTAGATGGCGGCGTAAGGTCCCTGCTCGTCTGCCTCAAGTTCGAGCTCAGGTAAATCCACTCTTTATCACCTGTTTGTTTGCTTTCTACAACCGCTAATCACCATGGTCACACATGCAAATATAGTAAAATCAGTTACTTGCGCTGTGAAGTGGCAGTGTTGCAGACCTTCGCATTTGTTAGAATCTCCATAATCAGCTCTTCTGCTAACCCAGCAGTGAATGAGATGGGTGTAGCGATGCATATCTTTCATCAAAACAAGTTGCGCTGTACTCTATACCGAGTGTGTATAAATAGACAGCCCGCAGCATCTCGCTCTTCTGGGCCGTGTTTGTTAGTTACCTTGAGAAATTGGGTGAAAACTACCTGGCCGACCGACCAGGTTATCCTGGTGGAAAATGTGCGGTATTTTTCACGTCAGGAGTTCTAGCAGTAGCAAGTGTTGCAATGCACCGGCTATAATTGATTCATGCATGTATATCTGGTCAGACCTAGTCTAGTGTTACCTGCCCCCGTCAATACAGATATAACACTCCAGCACCAAACAGTGGGCACATATACAAGAATGCTGTGAGGCCTTCCCCAGAGGCAAGCAGTCAGATACTGAGGTAGAATATATTCTTCTTTGATAGCCTTTTTTAGAAGTTGATGACGTACTAAGTAGACTCAATTTATTGACAGTAGACATGTAGACACAATTTATTGACAGTAGATATGTAACTTGTTTGATAGGCATTACTTAGAAGTTTGCGGATGACAAGATAGACACAATTTTATGGATAACAACTTCTTTAATACTGTAAAAAGCGACGTTTCGGTATAGATCCTTATACCGTTGTCAAGCAAGACTGAATGAGGGACATAGTGCAGAATATATATAGCAAGTGGAGGATTAACAGTAGGGGATTAACAGTAACACCAAGGGCATACATGAGTGGGATAACATAGGTAGGTGTGACAACAAGGATGATGCTATCACAACACGATGGACAGCTTCTAGCTATGTGGTTTCTGTCCATCGTGTTGTGATAGCATCATCCTTGTTGTCACACCTACCTATGTTATCCCACTCATGTATGCCCTTGGTGTTACTGTTAATCCCCTACTGTTAATCCTCTACTGTTAATCCTCCACTTGCTATATATATTCTGCACTATGTCCCTCATTCAGTCTTGCTTGACAACGGTATAAGGATCTATACCGAAACGTCGCTTTTTACAGTATTAAAGAAGTTGTTATCCATAAAATTGTGTCTATCTAGTAGATATGTAGACACAATTTATTGACAGTAGACATGTAGACTCAATTTATTGACAGTAGACATGTAGACTCAATTTATTGACAGTAGGCATGTCGACACAATTTATGGATAGCATCTTGAATAGTAACTTAAGACTTTTTACCTTATTTTACCTGCATTTTGAACATAACATGCCTCTCCACTCCTCTGTAACCACACCCCCATCCATTCAGCTGTGTAAACCCATCCATTCTCTGTACTTCACTTGCTGACCTGTGAAGATACGGGGTAGAATAGGTCTTCAGCAACCCATGCTTGCCGTAAAAGGCGACTAACAGGATCGGTGGTCAGGCTCGCTGACTTGCATATCATCGATCCCAATTGCGTGGATTGATGTTCATGATGTAAATCACTGGATTGTTTGGTCCAGATTCGATTATTTACAGACCGCCGTCATATAGACATGATAGATGATACTAAGTTTAATTATTTTATTTTTCTTTCCAGGTGAAAAACCAAGAGAGAGGCTATAACCCAGTAGGACAAGGAACATACAAAGATGGGTATGTAGTCATGGTAACGCAGTCTTCAAGTTGACCACTAGTAGTACATCACATGGTTCATAATTTCTTAATGTCACGTTCAGTGTTCACGGCACATGTGCACAGCGTCTATCCTATCTGATACTTGTGTGAAATACTGCATGCTCTGAACTAGCTGTAGGAATCCTGGGCCCACTTGCACAAAACGATCTTATCGCTAAGACTATTGTAAGTCTATGTTAAAGTATGGGAGTTAAGATCATCTTAGCGCTAAGATTGCTTTGAGCAAGTTGGCCCTGGATGCGAGTCCTTTCTGACGAATGTCTACAATGGGCACGCTGCGTCCTTGTAACAGATCGCGTCCAATGACTTCTTGATAACCTTGATCATTACTTGTGATCTGTGAGCTTTAGTATTGGGTAAAGTTAGGACAACTGCTTTGGGCATATCTATTTATTACCTACGGGTTTAAGAAACAGGTGGGGAGACGAGTGTCGTACAATGTTGACCTCATTTTATTTGTTTTGATTGGATAACTGTGACCTTGCTTAGGTCACACATGAAACATCACACTGGCACTATTTTCATTCTTAAAAACTAATGACGCCTTCAACATTAACAGGGGCGGTCTGAAAGCCTAGTTGTTAAAGCGTTCGCTCATCATCCCGAAAAACCGGGTTCGATTCCAGACATGGGTATAATGTGTGAAGCCCATTTCTGGTGTCCCCCGCCGTGATTTTGTTGGAATATTGCTAAAAGCAGCGTAAAACGATACTCACTCACTCATTCACTCAACATTAACAGGTTAGATGCTGCAACATTAAAGTGACTTCTTTGAGTGGCATTTAGAAGTTGGAATGGTAACTTAGACAAAATTGTTATGGATGAGCAACTTCTTTATTACAATTGGGCAACGTTTCGGTGTAGATCAAGCAAATGATGTACAAACTAGGTATGAGCATGATATATATACATAACAATAGATTGTTATTTCATTAACATTATTTCATTATTTCATATTTCATTATTTCATATTTCATTCAATAAACAGTGTTTTCTATTGTTATGTATATATATCATGCTCATACCTAGTTTGTACATCATTTGCTTGATAACGGTGTTAGAATCTACACCGAAACTTCGCCCAATTGTAATAAAGAAGTTACTCATCCATAACAATTTTGTCTTAGTTAACATTAAAGTGTGCTTGACATTTGAGTAGGACTAGTTTACATATACACATGCACAGAAGTGTCAACAATGCCCATGTTTTGGCACATATAAGTATTCATACTGAACCTGGTTTGCAACAGGTTTAGGTTTGGTCCGTTGAGTGGACATAGATTGTTATTTATTTACACATATTTAACATTGGTAATCAGAGCTTCTGATAACTTTTTGAGCAATTGAGTTTTTACTCTAGGGTTCTAATTTAATTGGGTTATTACATTTTTCATTGGGTAACCAATATTTTTTCACTCATCTATTCATAACTCTTTTGGGTTTTTCCCCAAAAGAGTGGACATTTTAAGACTTCAGAAAATGAAATAATGTTTTAGATGTATATAACCATGATAACTGTTCTAAATATATAGGCTTGACTCGGAAAGTAAATAAGCTGATAATTGTGCTTCAGAAATTAGCTCCTTTGTACGCATTCTGAAAAATCTACATTGGGTATTTACGCGTTCTGCTTTTATACATTTGAGTTTTCCATTTAATGCATGCAATTCTGTACGCAAATTAATTGAAAGTATTTGGGTTTTGAATATTTTGGGGGGTATTTTATGCAAATACGCTGCTTGTCCATAGCTCTGGGTAACGAATAAAATACCATGCAATTCTTGTCAGATACCACTTCTATGAAACTTGTGAACTTTCTAGGTATTTAATCCAGGTTTCACTTGGTCAGATACCAGGGATGTCAACTCATTTCATAAAAATGGTATCTAATGAGAATGAGTGTCATATTTTACATGTATATGATACTGTAAATCTGGAAAATAATGCGTCTCCAAATTAATACGACTGCTTACCCCTAGCCAAAAATGCGACATTTCCTTAATATTTCATATTACATGTGAAGATTCTGGGGTAGAATAGGTCTTCAGCAACCAATGCTTGCCGTAAAAGGCAAGTATGCTTGTCCTAAAAGGCGACTAACGGGATCGGGTGGTCAGGCTTGCTGACTTGGATGATGCATGTCATCAATCCCAATTGCGTGGATCGATGCTCATGACATAAATCACTGGATTGTCTGGTCCAGACTCGATGATTTACAGACTGCCGTCATATAGCTGGAATATTGCTGAGTGCGGCGTAAAACAACAAACCAACCAACCAACCAATCATATTACATACCTATCTCAGTGATGTATTATACATACATATGTGATATAATAAATAAATATGTGAAAATGCATGTAAGGATTTGACTTCAGCAACCCATGCTTGCCGTAAGAGCCGACTCTGCTTGTCGAAAGAGGTGACTAACAAGATCAGGTGGTCAGGCTCGCTGACTTGGTTCATGCATGTCATCGTATCCCAATTGTGCAGATACATCAATATGTAATTGTTTCTTTTTGATGTACTCTCTACACATCTGTGTGCAATATGGAGGTAGTCAACATATCCAGCCAAAATCAGTCATCCATGTCAACCCATGGTCGCTATACCTTAGCCAATATTCCCATCGATCACATCATTCCATCTGTCCGTAAATGTTCAGTAGTTGGTTCCATGAACTCATTCTTGCATGTTAAGTTGGAAGTCCCATTAATCACTCAATGGACTACTGGTAATTAATACCATCACTCCCTGGTCAACTGTTGGTACCATCCATCCACAGTCATTCATCCCATCCATCCATCACTCAGTGGTCAACTGCTAATCCCTTCCATCACTCTGAGGTCAACTGCTAATCCCTTCCATCACTCAGTGGTCAACAGCTAATTCCATCCATCACTCTGAGGTCAACTGCTAATCCCTTCCATCAACCAGTGGTCAATTGCTAGTCCCTTCCATCAATCAGTGGACAACTGCTAATTCCATCCATCACTCTGAGGTCAACTGCTAATCCCTTCCATCACTCTGAGGTCAACTGCTAATCCCTTCCATCACTCTGAGGTCAATTGCTAATCCCTTCCATCACTCTGAGGTCAATTGCTAAACCCTTCCATCACTCAGTGGTCAACTGCTAATCCCTTCCATCACTCTGAGGACAACTGCTAATCCCTTCCATTACTCAGTGGTCAACTGCTAATTCCATCTATTACTCAGTGGTCAACTGCTAATTCCATCCATCACTCAGTGGTCAACTGCTTATCCCTTCCATCACTCTGAGGTCAATTGCTAATTCCATCCATCACTCTGAGGTCAACTGCTAATCCCTTCCATCACTCTGAGGTCAACTGCTAATTCCATCCATTACTCAGTGGTCAACTGCTAATCCCTTCCATCACTCTGAGGTCAACTGCTAATCCCTTCCATCAACTGGAGGTCAACTGCTAATCCCTTCCATCAACTGGAGGTCAACTGCTAATCCCTTCCATCAACTGGAGGTCAACTGCTCATCCCTTCCATCACTCAAAGGTCAACTGCTAATACCATCCATCACTCCATTCTCCAGTATGCATCTTTCATTGCTAAGCTACCAGCATGTCCATAACCCATCCTCAGGTACATCTCTGATTCATATTTCCCCATCCATTGTGCCCATGGAGTTTCACAGGCCTTCATCACAACAGTCTTCCTTCCCTCAGACCCAAAGCCTTGGGAGTCAGATTTCAAATCACGATCAAGAACCGCTAGGCCGACATCCTCTGAGCAATCTTCCACCACACCAAAGTGGGGTGCTGGGTCAACAAGGTCAACAGGATCATCCTACCAGGACCCTGCTGCCACCCGCAGATGGGGTGCCCCGCCCACATCCACAAAGTCTGATGAACCCCCTAAGCGTCGATGGGGCCCAGGTTCTATGCCCACACAATCAGACGACTCTGGCTCAACTCCAAGATGGGGATCTGGCACATCATCAACATCCTCAGCCCCATCTGAGGAGACCCCAAGACGTAGGTGGGGATCAGGATCAACAAGGACATCTGACACAACATCAGCAACATCAACAACACCTACGGAGGAGACCCCACGGCGCCGTTGGGGGCCAGCATCAACACCTGCAGATGAACCTTCAACACCTGGTACAGAATCTAAAAGAGCATCTGACTTTAAACCAAGGAGATACAAATCCTGGCGGGACCCTTCTCCAGAACCATCTCCAGAACTGGAAGCCACTGAGGTGTCCTTGACCTTGCCGAGTGGAGAGTCAGAACCCATTGTGGAAGCATCAGAAGAGCCAGTAGAGGCTACCTTCACCTTGGAACCGGCTGTATCAACCCTGGAGGCAGCGTTCATTACTCCCAAACCAGAAGAGGAGGCACCCAAACTTGCTAGTTAGTGTTGAGCGTTCAGCAAGTGTTATGTCGTCTATGACCTGTGTACATGGTGTGTTTGTGCAGTGGCATGCTGAATACTGCTTGCTCCAAGAGAATCCTTATGTTTTTTGTATCACGAATCCCAGAAGATATATTCCTGTCCGAATGCATATGATGATGGTGTGAAGGGTTAATTTTTTTTATAACATTTATTATTTTCAGAGATATATCATTTTGCATGTTGTTTCCAGTAATCTTTGCCCAGCCAAGCTGATACATAGACTTCAGGAGTTATGTTTTTTGCATTTATATATATTACTGATATCCCAACATAACAGTGCTCTCTTAATCCCAAAGTGACAGTGCTTTGGTGCAGTAATTCCTTCCAATCCGAAAAAAAACCCAGAACTGTATCAATCAGTAAAGTCTGTTTTCTGGGGCAATATTAAAAAATCCATTTTGCCGTCATTACAATAATCCAAGCCATGTCATTATGTACTTCAAGCCATACCATCTTCATCACTATGATACATCATCGTTGGCACCAGTGCACTTGCACTTAGGATGTATACCATTCTCATCATTAACATGCTCGGACCAACCACTCTCTACTTGTATTGGCAGTAGAGTTTGATGAACTTCTAGTCTCTGAAGTGAACATAGTTGAACATTTGTTATGTTAAATTGTCTTTTAATATATATAATAGAAAGGAGGCCAGAGAGTCACTTCAGTTTCAGAAACTGAAGATTCCAGACTTTTCAGATATTTAGTTTCTCTGTCTGTGTGAGAGTAGTGGGTGGGTTTATGTGGGTGGTTTGGTGCTTGGGGGTCAGGTGGATTGTTTCATCGGTGGATTTAGGTGGATAGTTTTGTGCTTGGGGGTCAGGTGGATTGTTTCATGGGTGGATTTAGGTGGATAGTTTTGTGCTTGGGGGTCAGGTGGATAGTCTCATGGGTGGATTTAGGTGGGTAGTTTTGTGCCTTGGGGGTCAGGTGAATAGTTTCATGGGTGGATTTAGGTAGGTAGTTTGGTGCTTGGGGGTCAGGTGGATAGTCTCATGGGTGGATTTAGGTGGGTAGTTTTGTGTTTGGGGGTCAGGTGAATAGTCTCATGGGTGGATTTAGGTGGGTAGTTTTGTGCTTGGGGGTCAGGTGAATAGTTTCATGGGTGGATTTAGGTAGGTAGTTTTGTGCTTGGGGGTCAGGTGGATTGTTTCATGGGTGGATTTAGGTGGAGAGTTTTGTGCTTGAGGGTAAGGTGGATAGTTTCATGGGTGGATTTAGGTGGGTAGTTTTGTGCTTGGGGGTCAGGTGAATAGTTTCATGGGTGGATTTAGGTGGGTAGTTTTGTGCTTGGGGGTCTGGATGGCCTGGATGGTGAGGGGCAGGTGGGCCTGGATGGTGAGGGTCAGGTGGACCTGGATGGTGGGGGTCAGGTGGGCCTGGATGGTGAGGGACAAGTGGGCCAGGATGGTGAGGGTCAGTTGGGCCTGGATGGTGGGGCAGGTGGGCCTGGATGGTGAGGGTCAGGTGGGCCTGGATGGTGAGGGTCAAGTAGGCCTGGATGGTGGGGCAGGTGGGCCTGGATGGTGAGGGTCAGTTGGTCCTGGATGGTGGGGCAGGTGGGCCTGGATGGTGAGGGTCAGGTGGGCCTGGATGGTGAGGGTCAGGTGGGCCTGGATGGTGGGGCAGGTGGGCCTGGATGGTGGGGCAGGTGGGCCTGGATGGTGAGGGTCAAGTAGGCCTGGATGGTGGGGCAGGTGGGCCTGGATGGTGAGGGTCAAGTGGGCCTGGATGGTGAGGGTCAAGTGGGCCTGGATGGTGGGGGTCAGGTGGGCCTGGATGGTGGGTCAAGTGGGCCTGGATGGTGAGGGTCAGGTGGGCCTGGATGGTGAGGGTCAAGTGGGCCTGGATGGTGGGGGTCAGGTGGGCCTGGATGGTGGGTCAAGTGGGCCTGGATGGTGAGGGTCAGGTGGGCCTGGATGGTGGGGTTCAAGTGGGCTTGGATGGTCGGGGTCAGGTGGGCCTGGATGGTGAGGGTCAGGTGGGCCTGGATGGTGAGGGTCAAGTGGGCCTGGATGGTGAGGGTCAGGTGGGCCTGGATGGTGAGGGTCAGGTGGGCCTGGATGGTGAGGGTCAGGTGGGCCTGGATGGTGGGGCAGGTAGGCCTGGATGGTGAGGGTCAGGTGGGCCTGGATGGTGGGGTTCAAGTGGGCTTGGATGGTCGGGGTCAGGTGGGCCTGGATGGTGAGGGTCAAGTGGGCCTGGATGGTGAGGGTCAAGTGGGCCTGGATGGTGAGGGTCAGGTGGGCCTGGATGGTGAGGGTCAGGTGGGCCTGGATGGTGAGGGTCAGGTGGGCCTGGATGGTGGGGCAGGTAGGCCTGGATGGTGAGGGTCAGGTGGGCCTGGATGGTGGGGTTCAAGTTTTGGCTTGGATGGTGGGGGTCAGGTGGGCCTGGATGGTGGGGCAGGTGGGCCTGGATGGTGAGGGTCAAGTAGGCCTGGATGGTGGGGCAGGTGGGCCTGGATGGTGAGGGTCAAGTAGGCCTGGATGGTGAGGGTCAGGTGGGCCTGGATGGTGAGGGTTTAGTGGGCCTGGATGGTGGGTCAAGTGGGCCTGGATGGTGAGGGTCAGGTTGGCCTGGATGGTGGGGGTCAGGTGGGCCTGGATGGTGAGGGTCAGTTGGTCGTGGATGGTGGGGCAGGTGGGCCTGGATGGTGAGGGTCAAGTGGGCCTGGATGGTGGGGCAGGTGGGCCTGGATGGTGAGGGTCAAGTGGGCCAGGATGGTGAGGGTCAAGTGGGCCAGGATGGTGGGGCAGGTGGGCCTGGATGGTGGGGGTCAGGTGGGTCTGGATGGTGAGGGTCAAGTGGGCCTGGATGGTGAGGGTCAAGTGGGCCAGGATGGTGAGGGTTAAGTGGGCCTTGATGGTGGGGGTCAATTGGGCCTGGATGGTGGGGGTCAGGTGGGCCTGAATGGCTGGGGATGTCACTACCTAGTCACACAGGTCTATATAAATCCAACACTCTTAGTCTGTGACTTTAGCCACCTCTCAAATCCCAAGTCAATTTCACAATTTCTTTTACTTGGTGATTTATCTAGATTTCCAAACTCAATGACTTTGCAGGCAAATTGAAAAATATTATAATATTGTTTAAAATTGAATGTTTTTATTCTTCTTATATTTGTAAATTTGGAGGAATTTGGGGAATTTTTAATTCAAATTGGGATTATTTTCTTTTACATTTGCTGCAGACTTCAGTCCGAAAATCGGCCTCTGAGCAGGTTGAGATAAACTCCCGTTACTCTCATATGATAAGCTCACCAAAGGTTGAGATAGTAGAATCAAATGTTTGATTAAATATTAGTACATGGACAATGATCAATTAGTCAGTTAAGTGGATGGCTTTGTCTTGACCAGAGCTGAACAAAACATGGTTGGTCCTAGGTGAACTTTGACAATTTTTTAATTTGTTTAGTTTACATTTTATAATCCTATCATTACCCCACTGATTCATTCATGCTTTATATGGAAGCCCAGGTGTGTTTTGTATTAGGGGTAATAGGCATACAATGGTATTTACTCAGAAATGTTCCTCTTCAACCTTCAACCAATTAAATTCTAATGCTTCACTGTGGGGCATAGGTGGCCGAGTCATCGAGGACACCACAGCTCACTGTGCAGAGTGGTGTCCCTTGGGCATGCCAAACACCTATGATCAGGGGTTCAAATCCCGGTCCACCATGATTATGTTTCTAGGTTTGTCAGCACCATACCCATGCTCATGGGTTTCACCAAAGTGGTAAACATCTGAGACCTGCACAAGTTTGGCGTTCCTTACACATGAAACTGACACACCGTGATATAACTGAAATACTGTTCAAAGCAGAGTTGAACCCAAGTTACTCACTCACTCATGTTTAGCTGCTGAAAACATCACAGCCAATAACAGCATGCTGCACTCACAGTTCAAAATTGTGTGGTATTTTTAACAACTTGTATGTTTGAACTCCCCTGGTGCTTAGCTGTCAAAGTTGTTACAGTAAATATTTTGATGGAATGGAATAGCTCAGTGGCTATTACCAGTTATGTCCCTTCTAAGCCTCTCCTATGGACCAATCAGATTCCACCTCTCGTATCACTTGCGTTTGCTTTACACAAAATGGTGGCGCCCGGTCAATTCGATTTGATAGACAATCAAGATCTATATTGGGATAAAACGCGTCTTACATCGCGAAATGCATCAAATCACGTGAGCACCTTGATTAAAAACATGCAAAAAACATTTGGAAAATATCTGCTGACAACGAGTTGGCAGTGAACATGCTTTGCAAATCCTGCAATCGACCGAAATATGCATGACAGTCTACGAACCGGATTTCGATTTTGGTGTGCGATTTTGATTGGACTATGCATAGACTCGTTAGTCCAGCCAAAATGTAACTCCATAATACTAGCCTAGTTTGGCAAGGGTGGTAACTGGACTTTTATAGTCAGTTAACTCTCTTGCCTCAGGAAGATGAAGACAACTGACAATATGGAGGTCTACTGACCATCTGTTGTTTCACAGACCCATGAAGATCTAGGGTAGAATAGGCCTTCTGCAACCCATGCTTGACGTAAAAGGCAACTTTGCTTGTCTTAAGAGGCAACTAACAGGATCAGGTGGTCAGGCTCGCTGCCTAGGTGGATGCATGTCATTGCATCCCATTTGCGTAGATGGATGCTCATGATCACTGGATTGTCTGGTCCACACTTGATTATTTACTACTGCCGTCATATGGCTGAAATATTGATGAGTGCAGCGTTAAACAACAAACAAACAGTTGCTTCAGAGGCTCCTTACCTGTGATCAATCATCAAAGTCTACTTATATATTTGGGGTGGTCAGGTAGCCTAGTGGTTAAAGCATTCGCTCTTCACGCCGAAGACCCGGGTTCGATTCCCGACATGGGTACAATGTGTGAAGCCAAATTTTCAGGTGTCCCCTGTCGTGATATTGGTGGAATATTGCCAAAAGCAGCGTAAAACCATACTCACTCACTCACTCACTCACTACTTATATATTTAATATAAGATGATACTATTTTGGTAATTGGCACATCTGCCAATTAATATAATGCAAAGTGAAAAATAAATAATCTCAGAAAATAATATTCTCCCCAACAAAATGTGTTGACCTGCTTGACCCCTAGTAATACAATATCTGCAAGACAAAAATGTCCAGCATAAAAAACACAGCACACGCGGCATCATAGAAAACCTTTCCAAATCTTCATTGTCTACTTTCGTTTCATTTTCTTCCCATCTATCCACCAGGATCATTCGCAGGGTAATCTGTGAACAAAGAAATAACAGAAGTCTGGCCTTCATTGCATCAACATTCTGTAATCAAAATACTTGGTTTGACAAAAAACATTATGAAATGAATAATTATCACAATATAAGCCCAAATAATTTTAATCCTGATAAAGCCAGTGACATTATGCTGTGAATCTTGCATAACGATGTTCCCAAATGTCATTAACCCATTATTTATTAATTCTGCATTCTACTTGGTTGTAGTCCAGTTATTTATTTTGTTGGAAAAGATATATAATTATATGTGCAAATGATTTTAGTTCCAACTTACTGTAATATTTGGAGCATGGTACATTATCTGAGTCGGGGAATTTTATCAGCAGATGTTGAAGAACCTGATCTCAACTCTCTCTCTACTGATCATTAAGCAGACTTTTTATCATACCAAACTCACACATTCTGATTGGACGTAAGTTAAAGACGAAGTATAAAATCTATAGGGTTAATTGAAGGTTAAAATATTTTTTTACAATGTAACTCTTTAGTTTCAGTTAATTCCTCTTTACTGCCAAGCAGAATAAAACAGCTTAAGCATAAAATGATTATTTGTTTGTGTAGAATTACTTGACAGTGCTTATTACGGAGGTGTGAGTCATGCCATCATCTGACTCTGATTAACATTACAGAGTCAACTGATGAAGCATCAAAGTTGGCTGAATCAAAACCAGAGCAGGTACTGGTACCAGAACCCGCACCCACACCAGAGCCAACACCAGCACCGGTGCAAGCACCGAAACCAGAACCTGTGGTGGCGCCTGTGGTAGCGCCTGTGTCAGCACCTGTGCCCAAGCCTGTACCAGAACCTAAGCCGAAACCTGAACAAGAGCCGAAGCCAAAGCCGAAACCTGTGCCAGAATCTAAGCCGAAGTCAGTGCCAGAGCCGAAACCCAAATCTGTGCCAGAACTTAAGCCAAAGTCTGTGCCGGAACCAAAGTTTAAGCCTGTATCAGAACCGAAGCCGAAGTCGGTGCCGGAGCCCAAGCCAAAGCCTGCCGTGAAGACTGTGGCAGATCCTGTGCCACAGGCTGTGCACAAACCTGTGCCACAAGCAGAGAAGGAGGAGCCCCCAGTCAGTGAGTCTGTGTTCCTGTATATATCCAAGCTCGTTGTAAATATGTAGCGGCCATAAAATTTCAGAGTCCCGTGATGGGATTCGAACCACGGACCTTCTGAGCACAGGTCGGACGCCTTGTCCACATTACCAAAGAGGTTAACCCTGTCAGCAAGCTGAAAAGGTAAGGATGTCATCTGTGGGATGACTCCACGTCCTGCTACAAATAAACCATGCTTATCAGGCCAGTCTTCTGTCCTTGAGGACATGTGCAGGTGGGCGCTGTGGACATTATAGATCTGAAGTACTTGTCCTTGTGTACACGTCAGATATCTTTTACATAGCTGTGATATATGATTGTGATATTGCTGTGATATTGCTGTGATACATCTGTGATACATCTGTGACATAGCTGTGGACCCATGAAGATCCGGGGTAGAATAGGTCTTCAGCAACCCATGCTTGCCGTGAAAGGCGACTATGGCTGTCATACATCTGTGAGTGTGATATGTACCTGTGATATGGCTGTGTGATACATCTATGACACATAGTTGTGAGATATGGCCAGTGTCCGAAATAACTGCCTGTAAAGCTTGTAACTTTTCTGTCAGGCAGCATGAAATTTTCCTCCACCTGCCCGACTGTTTTAAGAAAACTTATGTATTCATCGTAGATTCTCAAGTAATTGTTTGCAATATTTCAATTGAATTAAGACATGATTTGTCTCTTAGTTCTTGTGCTTTTTCAATATTTATAATGCCTGAATGCAGGCAGGTAACTTTGAAGATGGGCAGGCAACACTTTTGGGTCACCTGCCCGACTGTCTTGTTGAGTTTTTAAATTATTTCGGACTCTGGATATGGCTGTGGTACCACTGATAGTCAGTGATGGCTGGGGTACATCACACAATATGTCCTGCCTCCTCACATGATGTCCCTACTCCGCAGATCCGGAGGTGATTCGGTCTTGGGAGTCTGACGCTAACAAGGGCTCCGAGGAGCATCAGCTGAAGCTGGGAAAACACTTCCTGTCTCTGGCCGACTCGGATATAGAGAGGGACCGCAATGCAGGCCTGGCTCTTGATTGGCTGCTTCGAGCCTCCAAACAGGGTAGTGAGGAGGCAACAGAACTGCTGCAGAGTTGTGTCAACAGGAGTCTGCCTGGTAAGATTTAATACTCTTATGTGGGTGTGCTACAATGAACATGATGAAATAATGTAAAGTACAAGAACTGATTTTCAATTTCTGTTTGAATTTGAATTTTGGGGGAGTGGTGATACCCAAATATGACATGTCAACATTTACTTCCCACTGTGGAAAACAATCTTGGATTAAGCAAAAGCGCACTGAACATTGGTATTAGCTATTAAAATAGATCAGATTATTCTTAGAATAAATGATCCTGTGGTATAAGTGTTCATCTTTTGTAAACTTGTTTGGGTGTTGTAAACACTGTTAGATATTTAAAATCGTTTGCTTGATGTGTAGGCACAAAATGTGTTGTCAGAATAAGAAAGAGATATAAGCCATGGAAAGAAAATAATTTGCAGTTTCAAGTGTAAAATGTGTACAATGTTGAGGCATAGTGTATTTCCACCTTTTCACATCCTGTCTCCCAGACCCTAGAGAATAAATTAAAAAGGAGCCAAATCAAGTCTAGAATGATTTGGCAAGTCTAGATTGCCACAGCTCTAAGCATCGCTCTGGGCTCCTTTTGGATGTTATTTTGTAGACATATATTTTTTGATAACATAATTTTATTTCTGGGACTAAATGTTAGTCTAACATACTGTTAACCTGTGTGGTATGGGTCCGAATAGGCCCTTAGTACCCCATGCAGAGTATACAAACCTTTCTTCAAATAAAGCCACTTACCTAAGGACACATAACATATAATATTTGTAACAGTGTGGACAGGACAGTAATTCTGGAAACCCGCATAAGATTCTGGTAGGTTTGACTGACAGCTACTTCTTTTAGCCCTTACAATTGTTAGACCTGGGAAGATCCGGGGTAAAAATAGGTCTTCAGCAACCCATGCTTGCTGTAAAAGGCGCTATGCTTGTCGTAAAAGGCGACTAACGGGATCAGGTGGTCAGGCTCGCTGACTTAGTTGATGCATGTCATCAATTCCAATTGCGTGGATCGATGCTCATGATATTAATCACTGGATTGTCTGGTCCAGACTCAATTATTTACAGACCGCCGTCATATAGCTGGAGTATTGCTGAGTGCGGCGTTAAACAACAAACCAACCAACCAACTTACAATTGTTCTAAGTTTGCTGATGACGTTGTGATTCTGCAGGCATCAATGAGAAGGATGCCAATGACATCACATGGTGCCTGAAGACGTCGTCCTATGAGAAGAAGATCCGCTACGCGGCTCGCAGCTTGTTCCAGAGAATCAACACGACACACAAGGAGGCTCTCTCGAAGGATGAGTACATGGACGCCATTAAAGGCGTCACTGGGAAGGTGAAGGAGCAGAGGCTGCTGATGGCTGCAGGTAGGGGGGACAGCAGGGCCAGATAACCTTTTGAGCAATTGAGTTTTTACTCTGGGGTTTCTATTTAAATTAATTGGCCTTTGTCAGCTGAAACTCAAATGTTTATATTCTTGGCCTACATCAGCTGAAACTCCAGTATTTATATTCTTGGCCTACATCAGCTAAAACTCCAGTGTTTATATTCTTGGCCTACATCAGCTAAAACTCCAGTGTTTATATTCTTGGCCTACATCAGCTGAAACTCCAGTATTTATATTCTTGGCCTACATCAGCTGAAACTCCAGTATTTATATTCTTGACCTACATCAGCTGAAACTCCAGTATTTATATTCTTGGCCTATATCAGCTGAAACTCCAGTATTTATATTCTTGGCCTATATCAGCTGAAACTCCAGTATTTATATTCTTGGCCTATATCAGCTGAAACTCAAGTATTTATATTCTTGGCCTATATCAGCTGAAACTCAAGTATTTGTATTCTTGGCCTACATCAGCGGAAACTCCAGTATTTATATTCTTGGCCTATATCAGCTGAAACTCCAGTATTTATATTCTTGGCCTACATCAGCGGAAACTCCAGTATTTATATTCTTGGCCTATATCAGCTGAAACTTGAGTATTTATATTCTTGGCCTATATCAGCTGAAACTCCAGTATTTATATTCTTGACCTACATCAGCTGAAACTCCAGTGTTTATATTTTTGGCCTACATCAGCTGAAACCCCAGTGTTTATATTCTTGGCCTACATCAGCTGAAACTCCAGTATTTATATTCTTGGCCTACATCAGCTGAATCCCCAGTATTTTATATTCTTGGCCTACATCAGCTGAAACTCCAGTATTTTATATTCTTGGCCTACATCAGCCGAAACCCCAGTATTTTATATTCTTGGCCTTCATCAGCCGAAACCCCAGTATTTTATATTCTTGGCCTACATCAGCTGAAACTCAAGTATTTATATTCTTGGCCTATATCAGCTGAAACTCAAGTATTTATATTCTTGGCCTACATCAGCTGAAACTCCAGTACATTAATTATCCCCTTGACCACAGTCATCAGAATCTCATTCTCTTTCTCATCCTGTGCCATTTTCACACCTCAGATGTTCACTTTATTCACTACACAGGTAGGAAAATCGGCAAAGAAATATCTGAGAATGAATTTGTGAAGATGCTTTCGAAGAAAATTCAAGGGACCGTGACCTTGACTACAGAGGAGCTAGCCGACACCAACGTGTCATACGAATCGGCCGGATATGTGACAAAGGTAAGACAATATGACAATAACTACCGGTACTATAAGTTGGACTTATGGTAGAAAAAGCCAAGGATGCACACAAAATGAAGGTTGTAGCGACCATTTATGGCACTAAGATGAGGTTAAAAATGGCCATATGTGACAGATAGATCTTAAACACAACAATACAGTCAAGTCCCGTTAATCCGACATTGTTGGTTGCATATAATTATGTCGGATTGATGAGTATGTCGGATAACGAAATTAGGTAGTCAAAAGATAAAAAATTGGACAACTACACGATAGATAACGATACGAACACGTAGGAAAATGAAAATTTTGAAACTGGTGCCGCAATGCTTAAGAAAGCTGCTTTCTTAGTGGCTAATGTCAACTTCCTGTTAATAATTTCATTAGTCGGTCCAAGTTCGCAAAAGGTCGTTTTGACGTGACCTGTAATGGGATGTCCTCAGCAGAAGCGAGATCTTGTATCCGAGTTTAGGTAATCTAGGCATGTGATTAATCCTGTTTTGTATATTTAAAGCAGTAACTGTTTATTGTTAAGCAAGTTTATCTCTGCAGCTGTTGAAATATGCAGCTACTCACCGACTCGTCTCGCATCAAAACACAGGGCTGTGTACTCGCGGGCAGATGACCACGGAGTACGCTGATCACTGTGTCGGATTAATGAGACTGATTAATGAGTGATTTCAGCATTTCGTTGCAAATTAGGTGTGTCGGAGTCAGAGTGCAAGACTATCAGATTAACGGGTCTAAATATCACTTATTTAATCGGTTCCCATCATTAGTGTCGGATAAAGCCGATTGTCAGATTAACGATTGTCGGATTAATGAGACTTAACTGTATAAGATAATTCGATGTGAAAAACAATCATATCTGACAATGCGAGGTTAACGACCATGCATGCTACGAAGTCATGTATATTAACACATGATTAAATGTCATTTAAGAATGAAGAGGGAAATACATGAATGACTTGGTGAACACATTTGTACTTGAAGGTCAAACATCAATTATTAAAAAGTAGTTTTGCCCAATATGATGGTGCCACCATCTCGGCCACTCAAGACATCTGGCATACCACTTACTTTGAGTTATTTCAGTGTACACAACTGGTACAAGTACATTAGACTGGGATCTTCACATCGAGTCTTACTTACTTACTTACCTAAATTAGGAATTTAACGTGCGCTTTCCGACATATGCGTATTTCGCGCACAGGCCCGCCAGGCCATTTGGTGTTTGGTCGAAAAAGGTATGTCCGAAAAGGTGAGGCAACCTAGGTGGGGCTGTTTAGGGTTGCTTACTTAATTTGGAGAACAATTTTGGAATTTTGGAATATGCCAAAAGGTGGAGAGGGGGGGAGACTAAAAGGAGTTTGTGTGTTTTTATAGGTTTAAAATTTTAGGGTTTATTGGCAGCTTGTCTGTTGTCCTTTTATTTTTAAATGCGGCCGAGTAGGCCTGTTTTGATTAGATATATGTCTAGTGTTTTAAAGGTTTTTAAGTCATTTAGGGGGTTCAGTACATTTGCTAGTGTCATTTGATTGTTGCAATTTAGTGTGGGTTGTAGTGTTGTTCTGTGTTGCACATCGAGTCTATGGCCATGCATGCTTATAAGCCTAGATATGAAAATATCTCGAGATGAGAGAAATATGATATTTTAGTGGAGGTAACTCTTGTATGACAATAGTTGCGTCAAAGTGTTATGTTCACTGCAGTGAAATATCAAGTGTTATGTTTACTGCAGTGAAATATCCCTTGGGCACGCCAGAAACCTATGATTGTGGGTTCGAATCCCGGTTCGCCCCGATCATGTTTCTAGGTTTGTCAGCACCATACCCGTGCTCATGGGTTTCACCGAAGTGGTAAACGTCTGAGACCTGCATCACTTCGGGCTTTCCTCCCACATTAAGCTGACACGCCGTGATATAACTGGAACACTGTTATAAGCGGCGTTAAACCCAACTCACTCACTCACTCATTCTTGCTAAGTTCCAGCTCTAAGGCCTTGCCATCTCAGAGGACATGTTGAAAATGCAAAATGCAATGACTATGGTAAATTGAACAGATTGACGACAGACAACATGCCATTGCATGTGCTCACAGTTTATTTGTACAACTAGTTGCGCAAGAGTATCGTCCAATGTGTATAATCCAAGTATTTTTATTGTTAAATTATGTTAAAGTTTTATATATACAGTCAAACCTCATTGTGCCAAACTCATGGGGACCAGAAAAACAGTTCCAGTTATCCGGGACTCAAGACATCGGGAACACTTTTTGTTAATTTGGATACTTGGGACTCCCAAATGAGTTCGAGACAACCAGGGGTTCGACATATCAAGTTCGACACAATGAGGTTTGACTGTACAGAAAAGCCGATCTCATAGGAAGGCCGAGGTATTAACTTGGTCCTTGAAATCTGTATCAGACTGTTATAAGTGGTAGATAAGCCCTACCCCAACCTTAAACTACGTCTCGTCATGGTCTGACATCGGAAATAGAATATCAACCGTCCGTATTGAATTACGCATGTTAATCCTGTCGTTGCACCATCTGTAATAAAAAGTGTTTAATTGTATATCTGGACTCATGTTTGTAATCTACGTAATCTACTTTCATCATGTTCATTCAATAATATTTACATTAATTTCGGTGTCCATCCGGTACTTACAACTTCAATTTGCCCCGTTCCATAAGGTCTGCTTTACCAACTCGCCGTTATTTACAGCAACCACGCTCATATAACCGCTATTGACAACTTGAAATGCTCCTTAGTTGACAGAAAATGGATACATATATCATAACTGCCATACTTTGACTTGTTAAAAGTAATATTTGTTGTAATTTGACAATTAAATGTCAACATATTGTTTCTGCAATGGAAATAACAGGTGTATATATTGTGTGTATCAGGCTATAGAAGTATGTTCAGGGGTAGAAACTAATATTTTTAGTCCAGAGATAACATATAGCAAAACCCTTATAAATGGCCTTTTTGTACTGGTCCTTATGATGCCTTAACTATTGGGCAGTTTGGCAAGGTCTGTAGGACAAGCGCCAATTTCTAATACTGAATTTTTTATACATGTACCTATCTTCAGGGATGAGTCAGAGTGTCATGGTGACACTGTTGCACACGAGGAGCAACGCTGAGTCAGCACACCTGTCAGTACTTCACTACATGTGTGCTAAGGAAATGACACAAAAATCAACTTGATAATACCGAGTTTCATATTTATGACAGTTTGATTGAATGTTTGTGGAGCGATCCTATTCAGGTGGCACCAGGTGGAATTCATGAACAGTTGACTAATATAATACTGCATCATCTCATTGACATTTATGGTGTCATGTATGGTCATATATGGTTGTTTTGACATCTTGGTGTAATACATGGTCATTTTAACCTCATCTTAGTGTCATATATGGTCGTTTTAACCTCATCTTAGTGTCATATATGGTTGTTTGAACCTCAGCTTAGTGTTGTCACAATGTTGTTTACATGTTAGTATTCATGTTTTACCCTCTTCATGGCCAATTATTTATCTATGAGTCGGGGGGCACTGGGTGGCCCAGTCGTCTAAGGCGCCACGATTCACTGTGCAGAGTTGCGTCCCTTGGGCACGTCAGAAACCTATGATTGTGGGTTTGAATCCCGGTTCGCCCCAATTATGTTTCTAGGTTTGTCAGCACCATACCCTTGCTCGTGGATTTCACCGAAGTGGTAAACGTCCGAGACCTGCATCACTTCGGGCTTTCCTCCCACATTAAGCTGACAAGCTGCAATATAACTGTAATACTGTTAAAAGCGGCGTTAAACCCAACTCACTAACTCACACTCATCTATGAGTGTGTAGTGTAAAGTCATTAAATCATGTGTTAATAGGTATCAATGACTGTTGCAAAGAAACTTTGTTTCTTTTTACATATTCTTTACTGTTGTTTCTTATAACCTTATTTATATGGTATTATGTTGAAAATAGTCCAGAAAATATTCAGGTGAGCTACAGAGCATATTTTGATGAGAGCAAAAACAAATCAAGGAATTCCGAAAACAGGGTTGAATCAGAAAATGCCAAAGTGTATATTATTTCAGGTGGAAAATTAAAAGGTTAATTTATGACATAGAAAAGGAGCATCTGATGAGATGATCATTGTTTATGTTGCAGATTTACCGCTACCCCCGACAGACCTTTTCTTCCGTGATGGACCAGGCATTGGAATACTCCTCCCAGGAGGGGCTGAACTGGGTTGTGTCCCTCATCCCCACCAATCAGCTGTACGTCCTCGGCCTGCTCTTTGTCTACAGCTTCATCACTCCTGACTTCATGTTTTTCTTCATCCCGCTCTTCATCTTCTACCTCTCCTTCGCTGCCATCATCGTCTGCACCTTGCAGATGTTCTACAAGAAGAAGAAGCAGAACGATGCTGCAACTCTGGCTGGTGTTCTCAAAGAACTCGACGTGACCATCGATCTCGACAAAACGGAGTCTCAGTTCACCTGGAACTCACTCACTCCTTACATCGTCTTCTTTTGCAACCTGCCGCTCGTTATCGCGAGTTTCTCGCTTTGCAACAAATCCTACGTTCCTTGTGCCGAGATTACAGTCATTTCCTTCGTCATGACCGGATTATGTTTCTTCAGCCTCAGCGACCACCATGACAAGCTGACCTTCTTCGCGCTGTTCGCCAACCTGCTGTCCTCACTCCCCGTGTTTCTACACAACTTCCCATCAGTGCCGTTACTTAAACAGATTATCGGGTTCCTCACAGATCCATTCATCGCTTTGGACACTGGTGTGGGTATTACCTTTAATGTCAGTATTCCTTCAGTAGCATATGCAATAATCCCCTTGTTCTTTGTTCGAATGGCCACTCGGAAGTCGTGGGAAGGAACATACCGAGTCCTAATCCCCCATCTTGTCTGTTATTTCTGGTTTAACATCCTGACCTCGACCTTCCCTTTCACCTCCTGGGTGGGGCTAGCTCGGGCCACCATTGGCTACATGCTTCTCCCTGTGCTAGTCCCACTCAGCCTCGTCGGAGTTGCTGTGATGTTCATCTTCGCCGTCTACAAAGCCTTCCAGACAGAGATGCTTGGGAAGATGGTTGTGACTGTTGTCCTTCTTGCTATACCGATTCTCATGACCCAGACCAAGAAAATCTTCGGAAAAAAATTTGATGCTAAGTTTGGAATTGCCAAAAAGGTCGTCATGGTTGTTTTCGCCATTCTAGCTTTGGTGCCACTGATTTTTGTCAGAATTCCTGCATGGAAGAAAGAGGTTCCTGTTGAACTGTCGTACGAAAATTACACTTCTTTATGTTTCCGAGAAAAAGTGGTAAATGATGTCCCGCAGCAAATTACTTGCAGCCATCTCATTGGTACAAAAATTACATGGACTGGAACGGTTGAAGGTGTGACCGTTGTAAAAATTGAGAATACAGCCGAAAGCGTCATTGGCACTCTTCCCTCTTTCGTAGCGAAGCCTTTATATTGCATGTATGGGCAGCCATTCCCGCAGTGTGACCGGAAACTGCTCAGTAAGAAGGGTTACAGTTTTTGCGTTATCATGCGTGGACTCGGACATTCATGCCATGTTAAGAACCACAATGTGTACACTTTCGAAATTCTCATGCTTACTGGGGATCAGAACATCAAAATAGAAGCTGGCGATAATTTCAAGGAAACGGTTCTTGCTCTGGAGATCGGGGACGTGGTGCAGTATAGAGGGGCACTGACAGATAACCTCGGAGGAACTGTCCCCAAATTAAAACTGTCTTCTTTGAAAGCAACCAATCGCACGCTGCCAATCATGATGCATGTTGACGAGGATGACGACAAGTACATGTCCGCTGTTCAGGAAGCAATTGCCGTTACTTTCAACTTCCTCTGGTTTCCGCTGCTGGAGTTTTCTACCAAGTAACCATGGCAATAAAATTTTATCAGTAATAAATGGATTGGATATGAACATTTAGTTTATGAGCTTGTAAATGATGTTTTCAATTCGATGCATAATTCTACAAGAATGGTTAGGGTTGTGAATAGAATTTGTTAGAATTATTCTAAAAATGTATTGCATGCATAAATCTTTATGATGTTTATGTGCATGTTTGCATATTTACTATGTTTGCTATATTGGTCGATTTGACAATTGTTTTGTCGTGGATGATATCAAAGTAAAAATTAAGAATATTTAAAAAATATTAACATATATAGGGAAAAGTCTTTTTATGATCATTTTCACAAGCTTTGAGATTTTTAAAAAAGTATGAATTTTGTTAAAATAAATAGTTATTACTTTGATGTTCAATCCCTATATTATAGCTCCAGGTAAGTTGTGTATTCGTATAAATACCGTAGTCGACATGATAAGCGCCCAGGGTGCTCTCAAAATTAGAAATAGAAGGCTCGTATTAGAATAAAATTTTGGTGAAAAAAAAACAGAGTTGAAAGATCGTAAATTTAGTGGTTTATGCTGACAGCCTGAAATGATACAATAGAAAAGTGCATATTAAGGGTGTATATAACACACAAGTGCGTATTATACACAAATAAATAAGTCTTGTGTATATTGATCAATCGGAAGGGTGTTAATTGGGGTTGTTCACTAGCCAATATATTTGCAAATATCGCTGTGCAAAATATATCACCACAACCCAATTAATTTTGAGTTGCCTGCATACAAATACTCATGAAAAATGTATAAAATTAGTATGGTATTATATTAGCAACACTGTGCGTATTATCCAGTGAGGCCTTTTCAGCTTGCCTACATGTGTTTCCAAAGGATTCTCATCTGTTGATCAATGCAAGCATCACATATACGTGAACTGACTGAAGTGATTGATGTACAATAGAGTGTTTTCTCGCTTACTATAGCTTAGACCTGCGTATCGCTGTTTATGAGAGGCTTGGGCCAGCTTTTCTACATATAACACTCAACTAGAACAGCTTTTTGAGCAGGATTTTTTTTAATAGTTCACTCATTGGTCTAGGATGCCCTACAGACTGGACCCAAGGCCGTAAATATATTATCCCCAACAAAAACTAAAAATAACCCAAATAAAGCCAATACTTAGTCACCTGTCTCCTCACAGCTGAGAGTGGGCTAGACAATCCTACTTGGCGGATTACTCAATTAGATATACTACATGAGATTACGTGGCAACATATCATGGATTGAACCCTATAACAATAGACAATTAGAATTTTCTGTGCTAGAAATTTGTATTTGTATGACCTTTTTTATTAAAAATAACAAAAATTAAGACTTTCTCTCCAATCAAGGATGTATTCTATGAAAAAATGGAAAAAAGAAATTGAGACATCCTCTCCAAGCAGTGATTTATTTAGGGGCAGTGGTGTAGCCTAGTGGTTAATGCGTTTGCTTGTCACACCAAAGACCCGGGTTCAATTCCCACATGGGTACAATGTGTGAAGACCATTTCTGGTGTCCCTAGCTGTGATATTGCTGGAATATTGGTAAAAGCGACGTAAAACCATACTGACTCACTCCCAGTGATGTATTCCATGCTAATGCCTCAAGAGTCTGCCAGTATGTGACTGGAATCCAGGGCCCACATGCACAAAACGATCTTAGCACAAAACGATCTTAGCACTACAGCTATCATAAACCTATGTAAAAGTGTGGGAGTTGCGATCATCTTTGTGCTAAGATCGTTTGTGCAAGTGGGCCTGACCAAATTGACTCCTAATTTGATAGTTCTAAATCAAAACAAGAGGCAAACAGCTTGTTTGATTTTATTTTCATATCCCCCTCAAAATATGACATATTTGCACATTTTCATAAAAACACTACATTATCACTTTTTTCTTCTTGTTCTGTATATGCAAATTGAATTCTAAATTTTGAAAACCCAAGAAATTGCTCTGTCGTAAAGAAAAGATGAAAAATATTGAAGACTCTCTATGCTGTAGTGTTCTACATGTTCAATAAAACACCCTACTGTAGTGTTAGAAGCGAGGAAATCAGTTAATATATTTTGTGTTGTGTGACTATTCCAAACATTCGGCGATCGATGTGAAAGCTCAAATCTTTTCTCACCGGACACAATGGTGTTTAATAGTAATCAAAACTTGGTGATTATGTTGTAAAGTCTTTTACTATTGTTCTGGTTCTGTGTTAAGAAGTTTTGATATTTTGTTACAGGTGGATGTGGAAAATACTTTCAGTTACTGGAATGCCATTAGAATGTTATGAATTGTTCATTGTTATGGAATTTTAACACTATTTACTAGCAAGTCTTTGAATGGCATTTAGAAGTGATACACATAAGAGAGAGAGAATTTATGGATGTCAACTTCTTTATTATGAGGAACACAACATTTCGGAGTACATACTTACTCCTTCATCAGGTGAATGAAGGAGTAAGCATACACTGATTTACCTGATGGAGGAGTATGCATACACTGATTAACCTGATGAAGGAGTAGGCATACACTGATTTACCTGATGAAGGAGTAAGCATACACTGTTTTACCTGATGAAGGAGTAGGCATACACTGATTTACCTGATGAAGGAGTAGGCATACACTGATTTACCTGATGAAGGAGTAGGCATACACTGATTTACCTGATGAAGGAGTAGCATACACTGATTTACCTGATGAAGGAGTAGGCATACACTGATTTACCTGATGAAGGAGTAGGCATACACTGATTTACTTGATGAAGGAGTAGGCATATACTGATTTACCTGATGGAAGGAGTAGGCATACACTGATTTACCTGATGGAAGGAGTAGGCATACACTGTTTTACCTGATGAAGGAGTAGGCATACACTGATTTACCTGATGAAGGAGTAGGCATACACTGATTTACTTGATGAAGGAGTAGATATATATACTGTTTTACCTGATGAAGGAGTAGGCATACACTGATTAACCTGATGAAGGAGTAGGCATACACTGATTTACTTGATGAAGGAGTAGATATATATACTGTTTTACCTGATGAAGGAGTAGTTATACACTGTTTTACCTGATGAAGCAGTAGGCATACACTGATTTACTTGATGAAGAAGTAGACATACACTGTTTTACCTAATGAAGGAGTAGGCATACACTGATTTACCTGATGAAGGAGTGAGCATAAATTGATTTACCTGATGAAGGAGTAGGCATACATTGATTTACCTGATGAAGGAGTAGGTAACACTGTTTTACCTGATGAAGGAGTAGGCATACACTGATTTACCTGATGAAGGAGTAAGTATATACTCTGAAACATTGTGTTCCTCATAATACAGATTTTGACATCCATAGATCCTCCTCTCTCCTACTATTTACTAGCATGCTGTTAATATGCTGTGATGCATTAGTGTATATTATGTTCTGATCTGTAATTGATTTGTAAACAAATATTAATATATTGTCAAAGACACATAGCAATATTTTCCTGTACAGTTGGTAAATTTGTGCTTTTGTTTATTTATTGTAATTTAAATATGATGAGAAGATATTTCTTAATATCAAAGATTTAGAATACAAATCAAATATGCATTTACCTTGCGCAGGTATATCTGATCTCTTTTGATGTCTGACATTAGTTAATTGTCACTAAATTCTGTGTGCCCCTCTGTGATATTTTTGTTCTATTACATGTCTGTGTATTTAATATATCATTTTTATAGTTATTATTTAATATTTCAGATTATCAGTTATTTGTCTTTTGGGATTGTGTCCTTTTATACATCTATTGCTCAGGTTGAACCACCTGCAGACAGCAGGGTTGTGTTAATTTCCATATTATCTGATGAGAACAATTCCTTGTTGCTATTGGATCTTGGTCAGAACAAGACGGTACATGAAAAAAAGTAGAAAAAGTTGAATGAAAGCTTTTAAAATAACAGATCAAACAAGAACTTTGTCATAATATTTTCAGTATATTACCGTAGACAAGAAAACATCTATTAAGTACAACCATTGTACAAAAATTGTACTACGAGCCTATGACAATAAATCATAGCAGTTCTATGGAGAAAGTTTTTTGTGTGAGTGAAATCTAAATAAAATTTCTGTCCACCCCTACAAGAAGCAGGTTCAGGCTGATAATCAGAGTAATATGGGTATAAATACACCCTGTGTGTCGAGGATGGTAGTTATGCTGCTTGTCATGATATTATATATTGATTTGATTTGACTGTTTAAAGTGTGCCAGTACATTTTACCTTGTTTCTTGAATGCCTTGGAGAAGAACTTCTTGAGCTCCTTGTTATGAGATTATGAAATAGCATTACTTTATGAAAACAGTGTATATGAGTGTTGATGTTCTACTTAACTTTTCAACATTATTTTTTATTGTCACATTAACAAATGATCAAATGACTGACAATGTGAAAAGAGTTACCAAAGTACAAAAGAAATATCGAATGGCACATTTCAAACAAGACTCCGAAGATGTATCAGTATCTATTTTGATAATTACAGATAACCTGTATCTCTAAACAATTTGATTAAATACAAACATTGTCAATCAATAGGCAATTCTTTCCAAAACGATGTAAATAATTTGATTTTTTATGTATATATACTACTCAAAAACAGTTAGGGATAACCCGATTCTTTCCTATTACTATAGTTTATTGTTTATGTAACTAGTTATAGGAATTGGGTGATCCACTGTTTGATTAGTGTAGAAAAATATGAAATCAAAATGTATTCTTGTTTCTAATTGAATTTTGAATGTAAGTTCCGTGTAAGTTTTGTCACTCGCTGTGCAGAGTTGCGTCCCTTGGGCATGTCAGAATTCTATGATTGTGGGTTTGAATCCCGGTTCGCCCTGATTATGTTTCTAGGTTTCTCAGCACCATACCCGTGCTCGTGGGTTTCACCGAAGTGGTAAATGTCTGAGACCTGTATCACTTTGGGCTTTCTTCCAACGCTAAGCTGACACGCCGCAATATAACTGGAATACTGTTAAATGCGGCGTTAAACTCAACTCACTCACTCACTCACTCACTCACTCACTCACTCACTCACTCTGTCACATAATTTCACTATGGCTTGAAGCATAGCTGTATTGCTTATTGGCAGCAGTACTTCTGTAATAAATACTTACATGTGAATGGAGGGTGCTACTGGCAGGACATGCTTACCCTTTTTGCAAACACCTGGTGTCATCACTGATTTTCAGTGGTCCATTCTTATATTTTTACAGCTATTTTGGCCTTTATGCCAAATGGAATCTGTTTTAGAAGAAAATCAAAACTTGTTATTCTCTTGTATTCATGTTTTATATTATGTTACATGTATGACAGTATCAACTATACAATGTGCTGATGGTTGTATACAGCCACAGTGCTACAAGTCTAAGTCTGTACGTGTACTTGAGGCCATGACAAATTGATTATTTGTTCACAGGGTTTTCTGGTTAAAGTACAAGAGCTTGGAGTCGGTTTTATTATTTGGTTGAAATGACAAACTGTTCCTGAAAATAGAGACAGAATGTCAATATCCCT